CTTGTGGAATTACGGTGCAGTATCACTTAATCTCCACAATTATCCTGAAAAGCCTATGAAAACACACATACCTTCCTTCTTCAACTGCCTGTCTGTGTGAAGGTGGATATTCTTCACACACTTAGACCAAAACATGTATCACAATAGACTGACTGCAGAAATAGATGAGATTTCAGTTGTCTTAAGTCAAACATTAAGACCTGAAAAAAAGGTTCAACATGGCCATTCTTCTCACTATGTATTTTTGGTTTTGAAAAATGTCCTTATTTTATAGGTGCCAATATAAAGATAGCTCTCATATTAACTATAGAAAAAGGAAGAACTCCAACGCTGTCTTTTACCAAACCTAAATGAAAAACACAGAAAACAGTGTTTTCTAGTGCTTGAAAGTCCACAAGTGACACACAATTTCCAAAGAACCCTCTGAGAAAAAAAGAAAACATTTACTGAATACCTATTATACCCCATGGACTATGCTCAGTGCTTTCACATAAAACCTTTTCATCAAATTTGAGACCAGCACTAAGGCTGAAAGTCAAATGGAGTAAATATGGTACATGCAAAAAGAACAGACTCTTGACACACCTGAATTAAAATCATTCCCTTGAATGTTATCTTATTAAATCAAAAGCACAAGAGTTTCTTCTTTAAAATTTCTTCTTTAAAATAAATTCAATATTTATAAGATTGAGAGAAATGTGAATACAGTTAAAAGCATATACAGTGGGTGCTTAAAAGGTTCCCTTCAGTCATACTTCTTTCTTCTGTTCCAAAACTAAAACAGCGAGTAAGTACCAAAATCAGCGATCAAGGTTAAATTTGATGACATGCTTTTGTTTCATTCATCACTACAGGCCTCAAATAGATGAATGCTGCTCCAGAAAACATTAAAAAATATCTTAAGGACCCACAACCACTATCAGGTATTAGAAATCAATGTTTAAAAACTACCTATGCATTTTTTTTTTCTAAAATAGCTTCATTCTTTAAAATCTAAATCACTCCTACAATTCTTCCCAATCTTGTATATTCTTTTGACATACTTAGTGACTATGAAATATAAGGGCATCTTGGTATCTCCAAGAAAACTATCAATGAAGCAATTCTCAAACTGGCTACCTTGTAAACTAGCAAAGTTGGCAGGAAGCACCAAAACAATCATTTAATTCCTAACGATATTTCTATCAGATATTTCATACTGTCACATGCTTGGACTATTATGTGAAAAATTAGACAGGAGTTATTTTAAGTATAGTAAATATGTTCCAAGATTTGTGGTGAGAGAGATCAGTCTCTAAAAGTTAACAAGACTTAATACCTTAACAATGCTTTTCACTCTGTACACTTTAACAACACCAAGGCTCTTTCAAAACAACAAAAGAGCTGATCAATTTATTAAACTCTTGCCAATCAAGTACCTTTTTAAAAAAAGTTCAAGCTGACTTCATATTTTGTGTTTGTGTGGATAATCACAAGTTTCTAATTATGTAGCATTTTAATATTCTTTTATATTTAGGGTAAGTTGTTTTCTTAAAGTTGTGTTTTTAAAAGATCTAGTTATATTTTATGCTCTATTTGAACCCAGACACTCAGAACTTTCATAAAAAGTATGCAGATTTATTAGGAAATCTACCAGAAAATTCCCCTCTACTTTAAAAAACATAAACTATATGAGCTTAATTTACTTTATCCTGACAAATTTTTTATTTCAAGTTTGGTCACTACCCATTTCCTGTGTTGCACTGCATACCCTCTTTTCTATGGTTACTATTCTCAAACTAAGACTGGGGATCTTCAACCACACTGTAAGAAGCAGCCATGCCATGGTGGATATCATCTGATAGTTCCTGAAAATTATTTTAAATGGGTACTCAACCCCATATGCCTTCTTTGATGCTTTTTGTCTTTCAAGAAACTTAACATGACCACATTTTAGAGGAGCCATAATGGTAGGAACAAATATCAGATTGAAATCTATGAACTTTCAACTCCAACACTCAGAAATTAAAACTTTAAAAGGATCACTAATGTGGTGTGTCTAAACTGCCCTTCAATGAGCAACTACATGACTCTGTATTAAAAACTTTTTCTATTTTGTTCAATGTAACAAGTTATACAAGCAGAGAGAAAAAAGAGCCACTGAAACTAAGGGAGTAAGAGAATCAATTATACTGAATCCTATTAAATCCCTTCCCTCCCCCCAAACAGAAAAGCTGAAGGTGATAAAACGCTCAGAGAATTGCCAGGCATCTTCCTAACATTACCTATTAATCTTCACAACACTCATGAAGCAGATGTCAAGTACCTCTAGTTTTACAGATGAAAGAACCATAAGACTAAGCGATTTCCCCCAAGGTCATACACAAAGTTAGAGATCAAATTAAACTAAACTCTAGGACTTTGTACTCTTCATCATTTCTAATCAAATAAACTGTTAGATCAAAATATGCTACAATTACCTCTCCCTAAATGCTATATTCCGTACATGGGCTGTTCCAGTAAGGTAGCCACTAGCCACATGTGGCTATCAAGCACTTGAAATGCAGCTAGTCCAACTGGAGGTATGCCATAACTGTAAAATACAAACTGGATTTTGAACGTATGAAAGGAATAATATGAAACCTCTCAATTATTTTACACAAATTAGATGTTGCAATGGTGTTCTGGATGTACTGGATTAAGTTAAATTCACTGGACAGCACTGGCCCATAATTCTTTCCAAAGACTTCCCATGAAATAGATGCCATCACAAGATCCCAGTCAAAAAGCAATTATTTTCTTAGAATTTGCTGTATTCTACATACATTATGTAATGCAATGTAGTAACCATATCTAAAGGGTGATAAGTGTTTAGAGAGATGCAGCATACATGTAAGTAACAAATACACAAAATAGACCACCGTAGTGTTTTCTAAACATAAAAAAGAATGTTTCTATCTCATTACAAGTATATGAGATTTTCAGTAAGCCACAGTGTGGACAAAGTATGACTTTCCATTAGAGTCATATGTTATTTCCTTAGGTGGAAAAGTGAAAATATTCCTACCCCTAATGTATGCAAAAGGATATTAAAGTCACCAGAGGACAACCATAAGGCACTATGAATTTCTAAACAAACAAACAAACAAACACCCTCGTTAATGTCAATGTATACTTGTTTTTTTAAAGTCACACATCACAATCTTCTTCTAATACAGCCTCAGCACTTAATCTGATTTTGACTAAAGTGCTAAAAGATATGAGGTAGGAGGAAACATCAATTTAAAAAATAAGGATAACTTCAGAAAGTCTGACAATTCCACCAAAGGTTGAACGCCAGTTTCCATATGATCTAGCAATTCTATTCCTAGGCATATAGCCAAGAGAAATAAAACATACGTCCACACAAACATGTTCTTAGCAGTATTATGTAAAATAGCTAAAAAAGTGGAAACAATGAAAATGTTCATTAACTGATGAACGGATAAATAAAATGTGGTATATCCATGAGCTGGAGGATCATTAGGTCATAAGGAGAAATGAAACACTGATACATTCTTGTTACGACATGGATAAACCTTGAAAACATTACACTATGGGAAAGAAGTCAGTTACAAAAGAGCACAAATTGTACAATTCCATTTATATGGAATGTCCAGGATAGGCAAATCTAAGAAGACAAAAAACTGGTTGCCTGGGGCTGGGGTAGTTGGGAATTGGAGAGTGACTGTTAATGAGTACAGGTTTCTTTTTGGCGTGGTGAAAACGTTCTAAGATTGATTGTGGTGATGGCTGCAAAACTGCGAATACACTAAAAGCCACTTTAAGTGGGTGAATTGTATGCCATGTGAATTACATTTCAATGAAGCTGCTAGAAAAATGAAGCCAGAAATGTAGAGGAAAAAAGGGTTACAGGGATCTGTCAAGCACCTAATTGCTCTTTTTCTGGATTCTGTAATTTTGTGGTAATTATCAGTTTTTAAGTTTTATCATTTGTGATTTTTTTCTCATTCTAAGTATTCATATTAGTAAAAAACATTTTCACCACCACAAGTAAATTTACTGAAAAATCATTGTTATTTAAGCAGCTCATTTTTATAGCATGCGAATTATCTCAATAAAGATGTGACATCTTTGTATTAAAAAAGGGATCACAACGGTAATATGTTAACCTTAAAAGAACCACAGAATTAACAGCCCTGGACACTTAGTACTCCCTCAAATTATGAAACCCACTAAAACGCATAAACTACTTTAAAGATATTAACAGCTTTGTAAAAAGCCCAAAAAATATTTCAGTCAAGCAAACGCTCAAGTTCAGAAATGTCATGGGAAGTTGAAGATTTCATTACGAAAACATACCGAGGAACAACATAAAAAATACTGCTTGACCACTTTCCCTAAAAGCTAAACTCGTGATTAAGATGCAGAAGGGAAGTATTAAAATAAATGTATTTATCTAAACTATTAAAGCTGAAGGGAAGAAGTCTTCTATCAAAAATCTCAGTGGGGTGTGTGGGTATGCGTGTGTGAATGCATGTATTTAAACCATACGCCCCATGTAGACAATCTGGGGAGCAGCTGTTATCTAAGACAATGATTTTTTTTTTCTTTTTTAAATAATCAAACGTGATGGTGCCATTCCCTAGCCCACCCCATCCCCCACTACCACCACCAGCAGGTGGAGGGAAAGGATACTGTAGACTAGAGGATGACAGCTTTGTATAACCCTTTGGACTTTATATGTAAGAATGCAGCTGGTGGTCTCCTCTCAGGAGGGGGTAAAGAGATTTGTGGACAAGCTGAAATAAGGGGTATCCTTTGCCTGGAAGAGGGCACACCGTGAGCCACATCTTGAATCAGCTATATCCAGAGTAAAACACAGGCCGCTGGAAGGCACTGTTAGCATCACCAGGATGGCCTCTCACGCCGGGGGTGTTTTTTTCAACGGAGAAGTTGTCCTGTAGTTTGGATATTGGGGGGAGGCAGGGGTAAAGCGGGAGTCGGGAAGACCAGAAAAAATGCCTTTAAGTGGAGACGCCTCAGGCCTCGCTGAGGAAGTTCAGAGCCCCACTCGGTCGCCACACGCTCACCCTCCCACCCCCACCGCCCTCCTTCCCGCAGCGCCAGACGTCGGTGCCCGAGCGAGAGCCGGAATCTCCGCCGCTGCCAGGGAGGGCCGCGGCCCGGGCCGGGCAGCGCCGACCGCACACGCACGCCTCCTCCGCACGCGCCGCGCCCGGCCTCCCCGCCGCGCGGCCCGACCCCTCGCACCCGCGCCGGGCCGGCTCTGCCGGGCAGGCCTAGGCCGCGCCGGCCGTACCCGGGCACCTCGCTCCCCGGCGGAGGCGGAGCAGGCCCGACATAAACTTCCCGGCGCGCTAGCAGAGGCGTCACGGACGGGCCGGCCCCCAGCGCCATTCCCCGAGGCCCGGAGGCGGCTCCCGCCCCTACTCCCCACACTCGGGGTCCCGGCGGAGACCGGCCCCAGGCCCACGGCCCCCACCCCTCCGGCGTCGTCCAGCAGTTTACCTCCAAGTCGCGGCCTTTGTTCTTGAAATTCTTGAGCCGTTGGTTGTCCAGTTTCTCGTTGTCCGCCATGGCCGGGCCGGTGACTCCTTCCCCCGCCCGGGCCCCGCGGGATCCGCCCCAACCACCGCGCCGCACCGACACTCCCAGGAACCGGGTCGCCGCCTGAGCTGCTGTGCTCGCCGCGCCGCCGCTTCCTTCCTCCTCTCACCTGCCTCCGCCGCGGCCTTCTCCTCTCCCCGCCCGCCCCCCCGCCCTAACCCCAGCGCGACTGCAGCTCCGGCAAAGACAACTGTGGGGCCGGGCGGCGGCAACGGCGGCGGAATGTGCTGCCGGCTGAGAGGGGGAGGCAGCCTCGATCTGAGGGCCCCGGAGCTGCGGCCACGCCCATCGCCTCCAGCCCAGCTCGCCCATTGGCCAACCAGGCTCCGGTGCGTTCGACCAATGGGAAGGGGCGATGGAGAGCCGGGGCGGAAAGAGCGAACGGAAAGGGGAAGCGAACGACGCTGGGAGGAGCCGGCTCGGGGCCGGGAGGGGTGCGGCTGGGGTAGGCAGGGAAGGACCACGTGCCTTCGGAGAGATGGGGAGGAAGCGACAGAGAAGTACACTTCAGGGGAAACCAGCAAGGGGAAGGAGAGGCCGGGGAACGCAGCAGGGCGAGTTGTTTTGCATCACTCGTCCGGGAAGCCCTAGATGCAGGGGTCCAGGGTCGAGACTGCGTTAAAGTAACGTTCTTCTCTCCCCGGGCGCGCCCTGTCTTCCTGGGCATTCCTTGCGCTCTCTGTTCGCTTTGCAGAGAGATCTGAGCTTCGCTCTTTCCCAGGTCGGACGCTCGCAGCTCCGTTCCCGGGCTGGGGCTCCCTGCCGTCCAGGGTCGAGTCTGGGGGCCAGGACCTGCAGGGATGACGTGAGTTGAGGAGGCTCAGCGGAAAGCGACAGGAACGCTGGGTGGAAAAGGAAAGGGCCCAGTAGACGTATCTGATTTATCTTCTGTGACTAAGCGCCCGCAACAGGTAGGAATTTAGGCAGAGCTGGTGATCCTTGGACAATAGCACTTCCTAGGTAATTCGTCTTAGAAAGTTAAAGAAGCTGCTTGACCACAAAGTATGAACTTCTGGAGGGCGGAGCCCGTGGCAGCTGACAGGGAATATTGTCTGTTGAGAAAGGAAATGAATTCCAGGGATACCAGGGACAACAACATTACCAGAGGCAGAAATGACACGAGATACAAAAGAACGTATTCAAAAATTTCACAAAACAGAAATGGAAAATTATCTTAAAATATATTGAAATATCAACGAATAACATCTCAAATGTCCAGGGATATGTAAAGCAGCAACTCTGGTCGGAAGCAAGGAATCGAGGCGTTGGGTGTGTTTAAACTTGGCTAGGCAGGGAGAAGAAACCCTGATACAAACTCCTTCAGAATCGTTGACTCCCGGTCCTTTCTAGTGTATTTTTTGAGCAGAACAACGTGCAGAGATAAATGTTTAAAATGCATATGTTTCTTAGGGAAACACTTTTAAAGCCAACAGAGGGGAATTTTTTTTTTAAGTTAAAATGGAAGAAGTCAGTGGGTTTAACAGATGTGAACAACTGAGTTTCCTTTGGGGGAGAGGTAATGAAAAGAGCCGGAGTACTTTAGGAATCACTTTGGAGAGGATATTGTAGTGGGGGAAAGGAAAGTAAAAACTTAGGAAGCAGAGTAGTACCTTTAAAGTCGTCAATACTTTATAGACCATCAACTGGGCTATGGACAACAGAAGCTGTGCCTGGGAATAACTCACACTGAAGGTTAACTTGAATATAAATTTAGAACAGATCTTAAATACAAATGATGATGTTCATTATAAAATGTTATTCCTCAAAGAGTCATTTAATTGAAGTAACATTGTATTTGCATACCAGAGCACTGATGTTTTTCAAAATGTGTTTAGGATAAGAAAATTCACTTGAAAAGCTGGAGTATGTGTGTATTTTGTGCCATCATGGATTTTATCATAAGCAGTGTTCAAGAAAACAAATTACCAGCGAATTCCCACCCTATGAATAAAAGTTACCTTGTCAACGTATCAATAGATGAACATTTTGTTACTTCTTGGAATACATGTCATGGTAGCTTTCATGATGAAGTTTATAGAAGTGTCCGTTACATGTCTTCGTGTCTCCAGCTACAACTGAGTGTCTCTGATGATTAAACAACAACCCGAGTTTTCTCTCTGCAGAAGACTCCTAAAAAAGGGTTGCAATTAGTTACCAACTCAGAAAGATGCAATACAAATAGGAAATAACCGCAATTTATGATTTTATTTGTTTATCTAAAATCTGTCTTCCTCCCTAGACAGTAAGCTCTCTGAAGTTAAGAAGCATAGTTGTTTTGTTCACTACTGTATACCCAGCACCTAATAGTACTTGGCACATAAGTACTCAGGAACTATTTGTCAAATGCAAGAACGTATGCCCCGAAAGTAGGAGTCAGGAAAACCAGAAAAAATGCCTTTAAGTATTACAGAAATGCCACAGGCCTCCACTTAAATTGAAAAACAAGCTAACACCTCTTGATAAAAATGTGGATTGAGATCAATAAGCAGCTTCTCCACTCCTTCTGGAATCTCCACCTGGTTCAGCCTGCCTGCCTCCGCCATGTCCATCAGGGTGACCCAGAAGTCCTATAAGGTGTCCACCTTTGGCCTAGGCTTTCAGCAGCCACCTCTATATGAGTGGGTCCAGTGTCTGCACCAGCTCCTCTAACTTCTCTCCCTCGTGGGGAGCAGAAGCTTCTGGGGTGGCCTGGGCAGAGGCTATGGTGGGGCCAGCAGCATGGGAGGTATCACCACCATCACGGTCAACCAGAGCCTGCTGAGCCCCCTTAACCCTGAGGTGGACTCCAACATCCAGGCTGTCCACACCCAGGAGGAGGAGCAGATCAAGACCCTCAAGTTTGCCTCCTTCATAGACAAAGTATGGTTCCTGGAGCAGCAGAACAAGATGCTGGAGACCAAGTGGAGCCTTCTGCAGCAGCGAAGATGGCTGGAAGCAGCGTGGACAACATGTTCGGGAACTGTATCAACAACCTTCGGCAGCAGCTGGAGCCAGGAGAAGTTGAAGCTGGAAGCGGAGCTTGGCAACATGCAGGGGCTGGTGTAGGACTTCAGGAACAAGTATGAGGATGAGATCCATAAGTGTACAGAGATGGAGAATGAATTTGTCCTCATCAAGAAGGATGTAGATGAAACTTACATGAACAAGGTAGAGCTGGAGTCTCATCTGGAAGGGCCGACTGTATGAAGTGGCGATCCAGGAGCTGCAGTCCCAAATCTCCAACATGTCTGTGGTGCTATCCGTGGACAACAGCTGCTCCCTGGACATGGACAGCATCGTTGTTGAGGTCAAGACGCAGCACGAGGAGGTTGCCAACCGCAGTTGGGCTGAGGCTGAGAGCACGTACCAGATCAAGTATTTGGAGCTACAGATGCTGGCTAGGAGGCACGGGGATGACCTGCGGCATACAAAGACTGAGATCTCCAAGATGAACCAGAATATCAGCCAGCTCCGGGCTGAGATTGAGGGCCTCAAAGGCCAGAGGGCTTCCCTGGAGGCCGCTGTCACAGATGCTGAGCAGCGTGGGGAGCTGGCCATTAAGGATGTCAATGCTAAACTGTCCGAGCTGGAGGCCACACTGCAGCGCATGAGTACCAGGAGCTGAGGAACGTCAACTTGGCCCTGGACATGGAGATCGCCACCTACAGAAAGCTGCTGGAGGGCTAGGAGAGCTGGCTGGAGTCTGGGATGCAGAACATAGGTATCCATACGAAGACAACCAGCGGCTATGCAGGTGGTCTGAACTTGGCCTATGTGGGCCTCACAAGCCCTGGCCTTAGCTATGGCCTGGGCTCCTGCTTTGGCTCTAGCACAGGCTCCAGCTCCTTCAGCTGCACCAGCTCCACCAGGGCCGTGGTTGTGAAGAAGATAGAGACCTGCAATGGGAAGCTGGTGTCCGAGTCCTCTGACTTCCTGCCCAAGTGAACAACTGTGGCAGCCCCTCCTAGTCTGTTCCTCCTGTGGCTGCCACAGACTCCGGGAGGGAGGCTGCTGTGTGGGGGAGCACAGAGAACAGGAGACCCCCCTGAGGCTCAGCCCACCTGCAGGGGAGTTTACTGCCTGGTGATCCAACACACACACACACACACACACACACACACACACACACACACACACACAAAATTGTAGATTGAGTCGTTATTGCTTCTAGTTTACTGAGTTCCTTCTATTAATATAAATTCTTGATTTGGTATCATGCTCATTCTGGGGTGAAAAGTTTAGGGAATAAATCAGACATACGTTTCAGGGAAAAAACCCCTGCGTATTTTTTTTTTTTTTTTTTTTTGAGACGGAGTCTTGCTCTGTCACCCAGGCTGGAGTGCAGTGGCCGGATCTCAGCTCACTGCAAGCTCCGCCTCCCGGGTTTACGCCATTCTCCTGCCTCAGCCTCCCGAGTAGCTGGGACTACAGGCGCCCGCCACCTCGCCCGGCTATTTTTTTTGTATTTTTTTTAGTAGAGACGGGGTTTCACCGTGTTAGCCGGGATCGTCTCTCGATCTCCTGACCTCGTGATCCGCCCATCTCGGCCTCCCAAAGTGCTGGGATTACAGGCTTGAGCCACCGCGCCCGGCCAACCCCTGCGTATTTAAAAGTAGTTGTGACACACTTTGTTAAACAATTATCCTTAATTATAATTCTTAGGTAGTCTATTGGCTTACATTTATTACTTGAAATTGTCACTACTCGTTTGCCAAGTTTATATGTTTAGTGTCTGTACTTCCGGTTCTTCCCAGATAGAAGATACATAATTTATCAAATGGGCAAAGAAGTCCTTCAGGGAGTTGGTAATAGCTCTACATGCTGATTGGTAATTGAATTAGCAAGATATAGTAGATCTAACTGATTAGGAGGTTTCAATTTTACTTGCTGGACTAAGGAAGTAAAATGCAGAATTATTAATAACCATTTCAATATTATCTTAATTTGGGATGTGATAAATTATCACAAACTGAGTGGCTTAAACAACAAATACTTCTCACAGTTAGGGAGGACGTGAAGTCCATTATTAAGGCAGATCTGGTATGTGGTGAGAATTCACTTCCCGGTTTGGAGATGGCTATCTACTTATTGTATCCTTGTATGTTGGATAGTAGCCAGGAAGCAAGCTCTCATTTCTCTTATACGGGCACTAATCCCATTCATGAGGGCCTCACCCTCATGACCTAATTACTTCCCTCAAACCTCACCCTTAACGCCATCACATGGGGGTTAAGATTTCAACATAAATTTTGGGGGAACACAAACATTTAGTTCATGACTAACGCAGACTATTTAACAAAGACACTTTTTTGTGTATATGAAGTATAGTTGTTATAACCAAACACCAGAAAACCTATTCTGTATCTGAGACCTGTTTTGCAATAGGCTATTTGGTGTTAGGTAATGATCTTCTGACTTGTAATCACTCTTGGTATTGGGAAAGTCTAAAATATTATGGAGATACTTGCTTTCAGTGTGTCATGAAATTCTCTGAGTCACTTTCTGAATAGAGAAACTCTGTTCTGCAACAGACATTTGTGAAAGGATTTGTGAAGACTTATACAGGATTTTGGTTGATCAAATGCAATCTCAAAAATAATTATAATTGTGAGTTAAGCAGTTTAGACTCTTCTCATGATACATGCATTAAACTGAAGATTATAGAATCTTTCTTTGTAATATGGATCCTATGGTTCTCTGTTACTGTTTGGGGGAATACCTGAGATTATGTTTGATTTCCGGAGCAAAAGGCTGGATAGTTAGTGTTGGCTGAAAAGAGAAGGAATTTTTTTTTTTTTAATTTTGAAACAGGGTTTCACTCTGTTTCCCAGGCTGGAGTGCAGTGATCTCGGCTCACTGCAACCTCTGCCTCCTGGGTTCAAGCAATTCTCCTGCCTCAGTCTCCTAAGTAGCTGGGATTACAGGCACTCACCACCACACCCAGCTAATTTTTGTATTTTTAGTAGAGACGGGGTTTCACCATGTTGGTCAGGCTGGTCTCAAACTCCTGACCTTGTGATCTACCCGCCTTGGCCTCCCAAAGTGCTAGGATTACAGGCGTGGTACTATTCCTGGCCTCAGGAATTTTATATGTTGCTAAATCTTACTAAAATATAATTGATTTTGTTACGGTTGGACTCCTGCTTTTTTGAGAGAAAAATATTAAGACTTTGGTAATACACCTTTATTTTCTCTGGAAAACAAAGTTGATCAGGTAGTAGAGACTTCATTCATTCATTTTCATTGCCAGACTTTTCTGACTTATAACTTGGGGAGCCTGGAGAAACAATTATTACCAAATATTGAGCACCTACCATATTCTAGGTCTAGGCGTTTTATCTATGTAAAGTGTTTTAAAATTATTATTGTTATTTCTATTTCTGCTATTATAGGCAGATAATTTTGACTGAAGCCCCTGGTAAAAGATGATGAATTAAAAGCCTAGCCATTGATGTTGTTATTATTACTATTTTTGAGACAGAGTCTCATTCTGTTGCCCAGGCTGGAGTGCAGTGGGGTGATCTCCGCTTACTGCAATCTCCGCCTCCCAAGTTCAAGCGATTCTCTTGCTTCGGCCTCTGAGTAGCTGGGGTTACAGGTGCCTGCCACCATGCCCGGTTAACTTTTTTGTATTTTTAGTGGAGACATGGTTTCACTGTGTTGGCCAGGCTGGTTTCAAACTCCTGACCTCAAATGACCCACCTGCCTTGGCCTCCCAAAGTGCTAGGATTACAGGCGTGAGCCACTGCACCTGACCATTGATGTTAACTTGATTGAGAGGGATGCATCTAGTTTTTCTTTAGCTTAGTTTTTTTAAAAAAACAAACAAACAAAACAAAACAAAACACTTAGTTTTAACTATTTCATTGGAGAAAAACAATTACAGGCCCAGCCTCCAGGCCCAATAGTTCTCATTTCAGGCAAGCTCCCTACCCCTATCTTTTTTTGTTGTTTAAACTTTTTATTTTAAACTAATTACAGATTCACAGGAGTAACAAAAAAATGTACAAGGAGATCCCATATGTCCTTTACCGAGTCTCTCCCAATGGTATCATCTTGTATAACTGTAGTACACTATCAAAACAATGAAATTGGCATTGATATAATCCACAGAGGTTATTCAGAGGGGAGGCAAGACATTAGAATGTAAAGAATACATGGAAGTATGAGGCAATATCCATGTATTGGAACATTTTATAACCTTATACTTTACAGGAAAAAATTCTATAATGACAGTGATGACAGTTGTTACCAAATATGCAGTACGTACTGTATTCTAGGTTTAGGTATTTTATCTACGTATTTTATTATAGTTATTTGTATGTCTTTTATATTTCTGCCATTATAGGCAGGTAATAGTTAATGAGCACTTATGTGGCAGTCAGTCTTCTTTTTTTTGAGACGGAGTTTCGCTCTGTTGCCTAGGCTTGAGTGCAGTGGCGCAATTTCACTGCAACCTCTGCCTCCTGGGTTCAAGTGATTCACCTCTTGCCTCAGCCTCCCGAGTAGGCGCGAGCTGCCACACCCAGCTAATTTTTGTATTTTAGTAGAGACGGGGTTTCACCATGTTGGCCAGGCTGGTCTTGAACTCCTGATCTCAAATGATCCACCTGCCTCGGCTTCCCACAGTTTTGGGATTACAGGCGTGGGCCACTGCGCCTGGCCTGGCAGGCATAAAAAGCATGTGTAACCCCAGCTATTCGGGAGGCTGAGGCAGAAGGAGAATCACTTGAACCCGAGGGGCGGAGGTTGCAGTGAGCCGAGATCGTGCCACTGCACTTCAGCCTGGGCAACAGAGAAAGACTCTGTCTCAAAAAAAAAAAAAAAGAAAGAAAAAGAGACTGCCATCTAAGTGCTCAATAACTATTACCTGCCTATAATAGCAGAAATACAAAAGGAATACAAGTAATAATAATAAAATACTTTATATAGATAATGTATGTATGCAATATATGTATGTTAACTCATTGAATCCTCACCACCACCCTATGAGTTAAGTATACTCACTTTACAGATGATAAAATGAAGAACAAAGAAGTTTGGTAATTTTCCCAAGATCACACAATAGCTGGCATTTGAACTGGGCATGACACCAGAGCTAGCACTCCTAATTACCATGGAGGTACATAAACTTCACTGTGCATAGCAACTTTTAAAGGCAGGCATTTCCATTTTCTGTATGAGGAACCTGAGGTTAAAAGAAGCAATTTGCTCAAGACCCTACACAACTAGCAGGTGCTAGAACCCTAGTTGGATTCCAGCCCTGCCTAGCTGTAAACCCCTGTGATTTCTAGTTGACCATTCTAGATAGACCCCTGACCTATCACACTGATCTCAGCTGAATCTCTGAAGAGGTCGCGTTCTGAAATGCCCAAGGGAATGGTTTGCAAACTTCAGAATGCATTAGAATCACCTGGAAGGTTAAAAACCAGATTGGTGGCCTCTATCCCCAGGGTTTCAGTAAATTTGGGATAGCCTTTGAAGATGTGAATTTCTAACAAGAGCTCAGATGATGCTAATGATGTTTCAGTTCCTAGAATACACTTTGACAACCACTAAATCTGGCCCAACAGAGCTCATTATAAGGTGGTTTCACCATTAAGATAAGAACAGCCGGGCGCGGTGGCTCAAGCCTGTAATCCCAGCACTTTGGGAGGCCGAGACGGGCGGATCACGAGGTCAGGAGATCGAGACCATCCTGGCTAACACGGTGAAACCCCGTCTCTACTAAAAAATACAAAAAACTAGCGGGGCGCGGTGGCGGGCGCCTGTAGTCCCAACTACTCGGGAGGCTGAGGCAGGAGAATGGCGTGAACCCGGGAGGCGGAGATTGCAGTGAGCTGAGATCCGGCCACTGCACTCCAGCCTGGGCGGCAGAGCGAGACTCCGTCTCAAAAAAAAAAAAAAAAAAAAAAAAGATAAGAACAGACTTAAGGGTTAATTAGGCATCACAGTAATAGATCATATATCATGCAACACTTCAAAGTACCACATGTCAGCTGGGCATGGTGGCTCATGACTGTAATCCCAGCACTTTGGGAGGCCGAGGCGGGTGGGTCGCTTGGGCCCAGGAGTTTGGGACCAGCCTGAGCAACATGGTGAAATCCTGTCTCTACAAAACAGAAAACAAAAAACAGAAAAAATTAGCCAGGCATGGTGGCATGCGCCTATAGTCCTAGCTACTCGGGAGGCTGAGGTGGGAGGATCGGCTGCAGTGAGCCATGATCGCACCACTGCACTCGAGCCTGGGTGACAGGAGTGAGACCCTGCGTTAAAAAAAAAAAAAAAAAAAAGGAATGAGTGTGTAAATTTATTGTTATAGATTTCTTACT